AATTTTGATTAAAATAAATATTTAATAAAAATATTTAAATAAATTACATATAAACTAATTTTTTTTTTTTACTGGATGACACCCACACATATTTCCAGTTGCCACATCCCAAGTCTTTTCTAGTCAAAGGAATGCACTAAGTCAGTGCTTCTCAACCTTAGCAACTTTAAGCCACTCTCAATTCTGAGAGTTGACATCCATACATCTTAAAGTTGCCAAGGTTGAGAAGCACTGCACTAAGTGGTCATTAGCTTTTGCTCCATTGAAAAAAATGGGGACACAACTAAGAGAACTGATGTTATCAGATGAAGTAGCACGATTCATCACCCCACCATCTTGCTTTGCTGAAGGATGTAATGCAGTTCTGTTGTTTTGTTTTTTGCTTAGGGTTACAACATTACTGGATGCCTAGGCATGGTGGGAAAGGGCAGGAGACCAACAGAAGAGAATACATGTAGCTCAGGGTTGAACTGTAGAGTCCTTGGGCTCTCTGACAGCCAAGCTCAGAAAACCCCAAGGATTCTAAAGGCAGGTGAATAATTAGTCTGGATCATTTGAGCTATGGGCTTATGTGTCCTGTTGCACAAAGTGGGAATAACATGTGCCATTGGTGCTGTGAAGCCTTCCCTCGCTGATTGAGCTGGAGAGCTCTCTAATGTTTGAAGGAATAAATCCAAATGCTAAAATTATTTAATTGCTGCACGGTTCCTGGGTGCCTGATGTGTGTGCCTGACACAGTTCCTGTGTGGCTGACACAGTTCCTGACAGAACTGAGGGCCTGATACAGTTTCTGTGTGCCTGACAATCTTGATTTTCTGGTAGCTGCCTCAACAGGCCCTTTTCAAGGTAATTTTTGGGCAGGGCCTTAGTATAAACCCTGAAACTGCCAATCCTGAAATGTTTAATTGCTAAGGAAAGCTGCTTAGCTCCAGCATGCATACAAGTCATGGTCTGCAGATTAACACTAAGGCATCAAACAATATACCCTTGTTCTTTTAGAGATAGCACCAGCTTTATTTTGAAGTGCTCATGAACTACACAGGTCAATCAATTTTTTAAAAACACATTATATTATTCACCACATAACCCTTGGTATTTGAAATCAATAAAGATTTTCAGTCGGTAAAAAAATAAAATGACATAAAGGTATCTCTCCCAATCTGTTGCCCTCCAAAGATATCATAATTCCCAAATTCTCAGTCTGTAACGGGCACAGGAATCCTGCAAAGAGTTGGTCCTTTTTTTGGTGAGTGCACAATTAGGATTTGTAACTGTTGCTTTTCAGCTTAAAAATAAACCCTTTTTAATGGCTGAAAAGTTTCACAGAACTCAAATAATTAATTATAAAGGAAAACAAAACCTTGTATCATTTCTAACCATCATGCTCTAATGTCATGAAGGAGGCAAATTCTGGCAGCAAAGGTTCCTCTGATGTTGG